CAATGAATCCCACGGGAACCGTAACTATTGTCGGGATAAAAAGGAGCCTATGTGTTCTTCCAGACTATGCTCTAAACCTGGAGATCCGTTCAGCCGTTTAGGCTACAAACGCTAAGAAACATCCATCTATCCATCCATCTAAACTTTCGCATTTATAACATTAGTAAGATTTAAAACCGGTTTTTTCACCTAAGTTAACCAAATCATATAGCAAAAAGATTTTTGTTTTATTATAATAAAAACACTAAATTAAATCATGTTACAGTTTTGTTTCTACGTTGGATGGTTGAAGGTAGCCGAGGTTCTTATAAATCCCTTCGGCGAGGACGACGACGATATTGAATTGAACTGGCTTATAGACAGGCACATCAAGGTTCGTAAGTGTACTTAACTCAAAACTTTCTCTTTCAACCTTCAAAATTAACGTGATTTATTTTTGAATTTCGACTGACCAAACTAATAAAACGACATTAATCTAGTATTTGTCAATAACATTCATACAATCGCTTCTCTATTTTTTTGGCTTCATCTAAAAATTATACCAATACTGTACTTATTGTGATTAAATATATGTTCTTAAAACATTTATATTAACGCCATCTAGTTGTAATATACTAAACCAGAAGGATTTTTTTAATAATATTTTATAGTTGTCTAACGAGATTCGACCTAGAAACATTTTAATTACATTATATACGGAAACTCCCTGACGTATTTATGACCTAATATACTACGAATGATGAATAACAACTTTAGAAGTCAGAGTTTATTTATTATATTTTTTTTAATTAATTATATTTCAGGCAGCATATATGATAGTAGATGAAATGCATGAAGAACATCCCGAACTCCTTAAAGACCAGTATTGGGAGGAAGTGGTTCCTAAGGACTTGCCATACACTGTCGCATCAGAACATTACCGACGTCATGAGCCACCATGTTCCGCTGATCATTATAAAGTAAAGGCTGAAGATGCTGTATACGCTAATGTGCAAATACCAAGGAAAAGTAACGAAGAAACATACGCAGATTACGTAAGTTTATTTTTACACTAGCTTTCGCTTTCGACTCTGTCCGCGTGGATTAAAAAAAAGTGAGCAGCCTATGTGTTCTTCCAAACTATCATCTACATCTATTCCAAATTTCATCGAAATCCGTCCAGCCGTTTACACTACAAACTCTAACAAACATCCATCCATCTAAACTTTCGCATTTATAATATTAGTATGAAGTATGATTGTTTTCAGACATTTAAAAAAAAAATAGAGTAGACATAGAGAACATTTTTTCTCCGGTAATTTCTTTGTACGGTAATATCTCAATGACAAAATAGACACTCTGAAATACTTCGTAGTGTTTAAATTATTTGTAATTTTGACAATTCGACATCATCGTTAATGAGATAATGTGATAAATGTTTCAAGTGAAGTGTCAACTATGCTTCTTCTATAATTTTTTTGTATCTCTGTTAATTACCTATGTTAAGACATTAATTTTAAACGAATTGGTTTAAAAACACATTTCCTGTTGCGTTTATGTAATCTTTATCTTCTTATTGATATTATAAATGCGAAATTTTAGAGGGATAGATGGATGTTTGTTGTTTGTAACCCGAACTGCTGAATGGATATCGATGAAATTTGGTATAGTTGTAGAGGATAGTCTGGAAGAACACATAGACTAAACGCTTTTGTTTTTTAATTCCACGAGGAAGGACCCACCGGCGAAAGCTTATTTGTTTATATTTAACTTGTTGCACATATAAAAAGTAAATTTATTTTTAGGAGAGTGTTGATACGCCTTTAGTTGAGCGAAGAAAGAATTGGTTTCAAAGGCAAATATCTCGTATGGAATCTGTACGTTCAGCGTCTACCGCGTATTCTTCGGGAGGTCTCTTCGGAAGGAACCGCCACAACTCTGTCGTGTATTCTAGTCCTGAAGCTGGTCAGGCGACCGCTGCGGTGCCTCCTCACCACAAGATGTCACTCTACGAACGATTAGTAGGAAGGAAATCGGTTCGTGGCCAACATAGGCAGAACTCCAAACATGGTAATATTACAGTTTATTATACCTATTCAGTCACATAACATCGTAAAAACTATATGTTTTTGTTTACATTTCGTAAATCTTTTAATAATAAATGGTCGAATAAAGCTAAGGTTTTTGCTATTGACTAAGATATATTTTTAAGTAACCATGACGACTCTGCTTTTAGCAGTTAGTAGTGTTTGCCCCTTTTCCTCATGATGGTTTTAATAATCTATTTACCCCCTACGTTTAATAGCGTGATATATATAATCTAAATCATGTCGTATGTGTAGGGCTTTTTATTGTAAAGATATTCAAAAATATGTTATGTATGCTAACATCCTACATAACTAAAAAGTATTCACATTTATTGTATTAATATAGAGTATAGAGGAATACTATGAAGTGTTTCTTTTTCATTAAGAATTATTCTGAAGTTAAAGCTGTTACCGTTTTAATTCTCATAATTAAATATATATTTCCAGGCGGACAAAAAAGCAATGGTTCCGCGATACCAATAACTCTCCGCAATCGACCACGAATTCCAACCCCGGATGTTACCAAAGAGGTTATAGACCGCGAAAACAGACTCGCCGTTGGAATGCAGAACATGGGAGTTATAATGGCTCATCAGGGATATCAAAACGAAGTACCCGTACTTGGTGCATTAGTTCTATCGCCTATACAAGAATTAGACAGTGGGTCTGTGAATAATACACTTCACGCGGGACAGCCTGGAACGACAGCACTCGCTCAAGCAGTGCTCTCTCCTAATATTTCGACAGGATTAGCGCCAATGTTGACTGCGGCTCCCGTTGTTTCCTCGGTCACGTTATCACCAATGGGAGTGTCTCAGTTGACTTTAGTGAACGGTTCCGCGCCAACCACACCTCGTACTGAGCGAGGTAAAGGCGTGATTGCTACTCCCTTGTCTCCTCGTACCACAGTTGTCGAGGTAGCCTCGGACAGGGATAGTGAGCATAGTGCCGCAAGTACGGCAACTGCCCCCGACTTCACGAGGAAACCAAACGGCTCCAAGAGAGGAGAAGTATACGTTTAACCTCGAATAGTGATAAAATCAACCGTCCATTTTTTGGTGCTTGAGATATTGTGATTGATATTTTATGTTTTTTTTTGTTGTACAAAATTATAGCGTTTTGACTGACGATGAATAGTGATAGTGTTTTTATCGAAATAGTGATGAAATTGTTTACTTGACTTGAATATCTATTTATATTGAATTTAAGCACAAACAGGGATTGAAATAGATAATTCTTTAGATGAAAATACTGATGCGCGACACTAAGATATAGACAGCGTTTATTTTTATAATACATTTATTTTTTGTTATAAAATACTACTTGTATTTTCAATTGACGCACACATGATTGACGACGTAAGACAATGATTGTTAACCATACTATATATAACCTTTAGCATTGTATATACAGTGAAAGACAGAAAAATATGAATCTCTACTTGTTAAATGTTTCTCAACTCTACAATTGTTAATCAACTACTAGTTTATTTATATTGGAAATAAATTATATTTAAATTGGCTTTCGCCTGCGACTCCGTCCGCTTAGAATTATATAAAAAAAGTGAGTAGCTTATGTATTCTTCCAGAGCGTCCTCTATATGTAAACCAAATTTCATTGAAATCCGTTCTGCCGTTTAGGCTACAAACTCTAACAAACATCTAAACTTTCGCATTTATAACATTAGTATGATTATAATGCATGTAATTCTGCGATATTAAATAATATTTTATCTAATTTGATATTATTTTCTATCCAAATAAGCAGTAATAACTTACAATAAGTCAACTACCTAAGTCTGTAAAAAACTTCGTTTTCTCAAGAGAAAGCGACCTTTTGTAGTGGGGTTATGGAAGTAGAAACGCAAGACAGTCATAAAATCCTAAGCATTGACGTTACCGACTAATATCGACCGAACTCCGTGACGTCATCTACAAACTTCTGCCCACAATTAATAAATAAATATGTTGTTTTAAAACAATTGATGATATATGATTTTGGGTAATACTTGTTTTATTTGATTCCAGTTTAAATAACAGAGATTGTAAGAGGATTTTTGTTGATTGTGTACATGTTAAAAAGAAAGCTTGCAAATCTATTAATTTTATTAAAATCAGATAAGCAGAAAATATAAGATATTTCGAACGACAGTATTTTAATTATAAAAAGTGCAGGGATATCTTGATAATGAAATTTAATATGATTTGATTTTTCTGCTTATTAAAAGTTCTGAATTGACATTTCAAAATTCATTATTCTACCATTTACAATTCTTTAATTATTGTATGACCAATTTTAGTTAATGTACACTTTAAAATTTTTAGAATCTCATATTAGGAAAGGGTTAAGAACTCATATTTGTGACTATTATTCTCTTGTATGTTTTATTATGTATGTTATAGATTATATTTCAGTTTGTGTATCATAATTTGTTTTATATTTATGAATGATTTTCTTAATTTTAAAAACTTAAGATTATGAATGTTTTCAACACATATTATAATTAGAAAAACTGATATCCTATAACTCAATGTCGGGTATTAGTACTTTTACCTTAGTTTTGTTAATGATTTGTAATAAAAAAAAATTATTATACTAAAGAATTTATAGATGAAAAGAATAAAAGATTTGCTTAAAGAACTTTTTTTTTACTCGCCTTATTTCTATGAGTAATTCTATGATTATTGTCGCAAATAAATTTACATGAAAAACAATACAGCCATTAATATTGCATTTGTTTTTATTGTAATCTATGATTTACGAAAACACAATCAGTCTTGTTATAGTGGATTTCTGTAAATTACAAGGTATAAATCCATGCCCTGTCTACTCTAAATAGTATTGATAAGGAAAGTTGTTATAACAAAAAATAAAACATGTTTCAAATAATTTAAAACTTAAATTATATTAAAAATAGAGGAACTTTTTTAATGAATAAAAATACATTGCACTTCAAAACATAGAACAATACATAAATCGTTTTAAAATAAATACAGCTGATTTAATTATTTTATGGTTAAAACGATAACAGTCAGGTTGTGCAATATGCCCATTTATGCAGCGTAATATGTTATTTGTCTGCCGCTGAAAAAAAAAATGTCACAATTACATATACATTCATAGAAATATAGCAACTGTTACGGATAGTAATATCACCAACAGATTTGTTATTAAACAAATAAATACAAATAAAACTCATAATTTGCAGATTTAGTATCACCATTAACTTGCCTTTGTCTAATGGTTGGCACAGTATGTGTTGCATTCATACATTTTTATCAGCCATCATATCTGAATCCACTCACTTCTTCAGTATACTCTCTTGCACACATTTCATCCATACATTCTTTGATCTCCCTCTACCTTTGTACCCACCAACATTCAATCTTAACAGTTTCTGGTTTATGTCACAATCTCTCTATATGTGTTAAGTGATTTTAATATTGCATTGTACGCATCAACATGAATTCATGGTCAGAGATTGTGAAAACAACAAGCAAATCAATCTAAATGTATAGAGGTAGAACTTAAAATGTCAATTATTAAAAAAACATAGTGTTAGGAATAAAATTAGTACCGTGCTATAGAATTGGCGCAACTCTAGATTATCGGCATAAACGTCACGTCCCTAGCTGACAGCTGTCAATGTCACTAGAAGTATGGATAGATTGGCGCGTAACTTGAGTCTTGACGAGAAGTATTGCTCTGAGTTAAAAGCGACAGTATCAATTAAATAAGTTGTCTAATAATAGGGACACTCAAAATATAACAAAATGTTGCACCTGTTATTTCAATGATTGTTGACCATATTCCACACAAGATCTTGAAATCTACAGAAGATTCATATACCTTTCTAAAATATTTAATACATGGAAATAATTTTGACGGCAATCCCAACTGGCCATATTTATTATAACCAGTTGTCCATACTGTATTATCTGCCAGTTTTAAAGCTGAGTGCTTCGACCCACAAGCTATATCAACAACATCTGTATAAAGAAGTTCTCCATTTTCATCATAAATACCAATTAAATTGGGTACTGAATATTCAATCGGTTTTTCAGTACAGGGGTGAGGTTCAAGACTGTCATAAACACCAAGTTGGCCGTCATCATTCCAACCCCATGTGTAAGCATCTCCAAATTCACTTAGTACTAAACAATGATAACCACCAGCAGCAATCTTTGTTATTCTCATACCAGCTAATGCATGAACTTCTTGAGGTTTATCGAAATCTTCAATATCACCATGGCCAAGTTGATACCTCCTATAATTGAAGAACATAGCAATAGCTTAAACACAAAATAAAAACATACCAGTATATTAATTTGCATTGAATTTCAGCTGGTAACTAGATACAATTTGGGGTCAACCAGGTAGAGGTAGACCTAGAAAGAGATGGATGGATTGCGTGAAAGGTGGCATAATCTAGATGAGAGTAGTGACAGATAAATGGTGCTAGAGTAATTTAAAGAATGAAAACCTAGTGCACCAATCCTACAGTTGTAGGTTAAGGAAGGGGAGATGATGATGAACCAACCCACACTGGGTAAACTTGATTAACTAAGGCTAAGGGTTAGTCACTCTGAGGTTCTGAGGCCCTCAATAATAAGTATGGTGAGCTGATGATGCTACTTACTTTCCACTTCCCCATGTGTAGATAAGACCAAAATCAGTGAGGAGTATACAGTGCTCATATCCACCAGCTATATCACAAACTTTTCCTAAACAATGCCTTGTATCCAAGTATTGTGGCGGCATTCCCATAAATACACAACCATCATTTGTTAAAAAATATACAGATTTATTTGATACAATCATTTTGACAACTTTCACATGATTGTTGTCTTTTTCCACCTTTCCTAGAGAATTAAACTCTAAATCCATGAGATTAAATGTTGACATTTTATCAAATTCATTGCTCATTATCCATATTTTTAATCTTTTGGTATCTAATATGTAAAAAAAGTCGTCATTACCCGAAACCAATATATCTGAAGCTTTAAATTCATTTTCACAGAATATATTGAGCCGTTTTACGACTTTCTCATTGTTATCCCAGGCACCAGATGCATATAATTTATTTTGGCTTTGAAAAATATTGTAAGACCATGACATATGCATTAATTTAAGATCTTTAGTGTTAAAATCATCGAATTCATGATTCTGGCTGTAGTTGTTTACTACTTTTTCAAACTTTTCTAAGATGGGCACATTTAGTAACCACTGCCCGAATAAGTTATTCCCAGAAACCATATATATTGTTGACATTTTTCCGTCTATACTCATAATATTTAGCTATAAGTTAACACCATGAGTAGCGAAGTAGCGAAATAAAAATGTTCAAACCAATCTATTGAAAACTATATTCATGTTTACATTTTGTTCACAAAATATTTACAAGGATTGACAAATGACACTGACTGACAGCTTTTAAAAATTAAGAAATGGGTGGTAGGTGTTACCATATTTACTTCTTTTACTACATTTATTTAAAACATCAAAAATGTTTTTTTCATTCTTGTTAATTGCAAATGTAAATAATTAAATTCATGTGTTTTCGTCTCACTGAATAACTGTAAATTAATTATTATATCATATTACCATGGATCAGTTTGTTTTTCTTTGTACTGATCAATATCGATTAGGAGAACTGTCATTTAGTCTATGCTTAGTCTATGCTTTTTGTGCTGTCTTTTTGTCTGTGTCAGACACCATTTTATGATAACTCGGTGCAAAGTGTTAGTACTTATCACTTTAAACTTGTGGTGATTTTAGTGTTTTCTCGTTGTTGTTGTTCGTGTTTATCATAATTTGGTAAAACCGGTGCAATAATAGTATCCGTCTCCAGAGCGCGGATCAAGGCTTCTGGTGAAATCATTCTGGCTATGAATGGTGCCAATTTGTGTCGAGAAGTCCGAACTTAGAGGACAACTCGAGTAAATGCAAGTTACGCAGGCAGGTTAGTGGCTGCACATATTTTGTTCTATTTATTTCAGTGTAATTTATATCATTTAAAAATTATAGACCTGATAATGCTGAAATAGTTTGACAATGTGTATTTCAAATAAATAGATAGAGAACTTCTCTTCTTAATTTAAAAAATGGAGATTCGTGGCTTTGCAAATGAATAATAAAAAAATCTTAAATTGTACACGATTCGACTAATCCGACATTTTGAGAAAAAGGGCAGAACTTTAATGTGTTAGTGCTGCCCCCAACCTTACTTGTCTAACAAACGTTTTGTACAGTTTATATTATAAATTATTATTTCAATAAATAAAGTCAAATTGTGCTTGATCAAATGTAAGGAAACATGATTAAGGAATTTTTAACTTAAAACATCTCTATGTTGATTTAGATATCAAAATATCATCATTTATTTTCCACTCTGTTAAAACCAAAACCTTTTGAAATCCCTATAACAATAGCAATTTTCTGTTCACAATAATCAATATTATAAAGATGAAAGATTTGTGTTTATTTATCCTGTAAACTCTAAAACTACTTTTCTGATTATAAATATTCTTTGGTTGCCAAAAAAGCTTGTTTATCAATTGAAGAAGTGGTAAGTTTTTAGAATGCCAATTTTTAAAGAAATCTAGGAAAGATATTATGTTATGTTCAGCATCATCTATTTTTGTTTACCCTAAACTATCTTTTATTTATATATCTAACTAGCCTGTTGCATGTGACTTAGTCCCAGTGAAGTTAAAATTTATAGTCAATACTCACAGGTAGCATAACTTTATAATGGTAAAAATTCTAAATCAGACCAGTAGTTTTTGAGTTATACATACAAAAATACAAATCATTCCTCTTTAGAATATTTAGTATATAAAAGTAAACTTAATGGTCAATGCACAGCCAAAATTACTAAGACCAGCAACTATTATGAGGTTTCTGGTAATATATTAGCATTAATTAGGAAAGGCTTTTGAAAAATTCATCCCCTAAACATCCCAAATATGGGTACAAAGCTTGCATCAAGTATATAATTATTTTCTCTGCAAAATTACTTGTTATTAATTTTATAGAGTTTTTTTGAAAAGTTAATAAACACTTTAAAATAAATATAAGGTGATTTAGACTTAAACAAGGGGAGAAAGTTTTTAAACTCCACATGGACAAAGACAATGGCAACAGGTAATATCCATAAACTAGGTGTTCCCATGTGCATTCATTCACATAAAATTATGAAAATTTTATTTCGTTGTTTACATGTGCTATCAATTGCAAATGGCAAAATGACATGATGATGACAAATATGGCAAACTTGCTTCCTTGATGTTGGCAGCAACTTATGGTCTCTTTCCCACATTAGGGTTTTTATCGGAAATATTTACCCCTTAAGTTTAATGGCGTGAAAATGCGTCCTAAAGCTTAACATAAGTGTAGGAGATTATATAAAAAAAATATTCAAAAGTATGCAGTAATTTTGGATTTCTTAGGCAACAAAAAAGTGTGTGTTTACCCTTTATTTTAATAGTATAGATAACTGGTCACCTTATATATCATCCTTAATTGTCCACAGATCCGGGTACCCGCAAAAGATCAGGTGTGAACGATCCAACACCACCGACTGGTGATAAAATGAAAAAGTTTATAAGATCTAAAATAGATAATGATGAAACTTCAAGCCGTTCATCACCACCTTCACCATCAGATCCAAATGCTTCTAGCAATATGCCAAAGGAAAAAGTGAAACCTGAAGTGCAGCCTCCATTGCCCCTAGATCCACCACCACCAGATGAACCACCAAATATGGAGATTGAATTAAAAAAAGAAATTGTCGACACAGACTATCAGAGCCCCGATGAAGAGGCATCAGAGGCTTTGAATCAAAATGAATCTGATATAAAACCTACTGATGATGATGAAGACTCTGGTAAACCAAAGCCAATGTGTAGAGATTTTATAAGAGGCACCTGTATTCGACCTGGAACATGCAAGTTCAGTCATAAATGTGATATATCACAATTAATTGGTGTTTACACATTCTGTAGAAACTACCAAAATTCTGTTTGCACTCGCCCTAATTGCAAGTATGTGCATGCTTCAGTGTTTGAAGAACAGCACTTTTACAGAACTGGTGAATTGCCAGCACATGCTTTGGTTCACCATAAGAAACACATAATGCCTCCGCCGCCACCTCCTCCTCCTCCACCTCAAGGTATGTTTAAATATCATTAATGACACAAGTAAAATTATATCAGCAAATGTATATTATACTTACATATATACTTGTCGGCTTGAGCTAGCACAATATCAGAATTATTACTACTCGAGATCACATGTGGGCGGCCATGGGTAAAGTCGGATTCCAGGAATACATTCACAATACTCCTCAGTCAGGATATCATCGATCTACCATATCATTCAAACAATGTTCCCGCAACGATCCCTATTTTCAGAATCATCTAAGTTCGCACGACAGTCGCTTGGCCGCGCTCATGTTCTAATTATGACTTAAATTCAAATTAATTTCTTCTTCTGATGCAATGTTTCAATGGTTTTTGTGGCTGACTTTGAATTGAGTGTTGCATAGTCCCACATCCTGTACACCCCACTACATCTAAAACTGCTCTTAACTCATTGAATCATGAATTTTTTTTGTAAAATACAATAAAACAAATGACAATGTAACCTAGTGTCATGTGTATAATTTCTCATTTCCATTGTAAGTGTATCAATCCATTGTCATGATGTATCTTCACATATTCAAGTATGTTATTTTTTTTCGTAGAGACTCCACCGAATACTCCAGTATTCAAGGTTCCAATGATACCTCCATTACGTGTGAGGTAAGTGTCTATAATTATGAATGATATTGGTACTGGAAAAAATAAAGATATTTGACATATATTATTATGTTTCAGAATGAACAGACCCCCACCTCCTATAAGTTGCATTCCTACTAGCAAATTGGAAGCTCGGCCGTTTCCCGGTTTACGGGACACTCTAACGCCCGGCACAGCACCGTTGAAACGCGAATGGCCATGTGTTGATAGTTGTGAGTAACTTTGTATTGGACATAACAGCATTTCTCATATAAAAAACTTAGTGACAAAGTATGATATTATGTTTCTGAGGTTTCAATTATTTGTATTTTTAAATAAGTACAAAGTAAAATTGTTTAGATTTTTTTTTAATCATTGATATGCAAGTCAACTTTTCGCAACCCAGAATATTTAACAAGGGTTTCCATTTCACAGATTGTATTTCCTTCGACTAACTTTTGTTATAGCATTACAATGTAAACTTGTGAAATTTTATAATGACTAAGTTTGTGAAACTTCAACGAAATGAATAGATGATAACAAGACTTTTGTCAGTTCCAGGTTCCTCCCGAGATGTTGCTCCTGATTCTGATAACGGTCAAAAAAGATGCAGAAACTGTAAATACATCGAATTGAGGTTAGTTTAAATTATTTGTACAAAACTTTATTAAAATATTTATCGTTTATAATTAGGTTTGGTTATAAATACTTCACGCTTTACAGCCATTGACAAGTGTTCCAGTTAGTTCTTACATTGAGTGAGTTTTATATACTTTTGATTATGATTTTACAAACATAGCAACTTATAATTTCATGTTTGTAGAGTATTTATAGCCAGACTGAACATTATATCCAGCGAAATGTGTACAATTATTTGCCTTATTCAGCTGAGCGAACATTCGGAACGAAACTGTTAGGTTAGGATATTGATGCTTGCGTTTAGTACTTCGTAAGTTTGTATGTGGTCAGTACTTGTATGAGATTGTATAATAAAGATGGGTTTTTAAGCTAAGATAAGCATGGAAGTTTACCATGACAGTATTGTAATGTGAATGAGAATACAAACTGCAGTAGATCAGAATGATTGACTAAGGCGTAGACATCCATAATTTAAGCTAGAAGAATGAGGACACCTTTAATAGAAAGCAAGTGATTGAGAACTATGATTGTGAATCAACTGAAAAAAAATTAAGTATACAAGCTGCAATGACATTTTATTAAGCAGAAAGCAGGATAATCATGTAGAGAAAAAAATAATAGCTTATTTGTAAAGATGGATGTTAGTGCAACATGCTTTTGAAAGTGAAAAAGACATGTTAAAATAAATAACATAATTGGTACTATTATAATTAGGGCCTGAACGACCAAATTGTAAATTGTCTGATAACAATCCAATGTGTAAAATATGTGAAGGAAATATCAGATTTTGTTCCCTTATCTGACAGTGACGTCATTTTTAAGCTATCTCAGTCTCTATCAGTCAGTGGTGGGACAGGCCCCTAGAGCGACAAGTTATCTGACCCAATAGGCATAAGTAAATATAATAAGCTCAGTAGCTTCCTCCCTATATCTCATCTTCTATGTCAATGTAGATTTTAGATATTTTCTGACTAACCGATATCAGCACCTCCCAAAGCTACTTTATTATTTAACTATAAATTCAAATTATAATGTAATTAGCATTCTTTAGAATTACTCTATTCCAACTTTATTCAAAACTAGTCACTACTACGTACGTTCCAGTACATTGGAGTAGAGTACGAATACTTCTGTACTATTAGACTATAGTATTGGTTTATATTTATTAACACACAACCACACTCGTTTCAAGCTCTTCAAGTCAAGACACTTAGCTTAACTTTCTCATAATAAATCTATAACCTAACAAAGAAAATAAAAATCCTAGCCCCTCAATCAGCTACTTCATGGTGAGGGTTTTTAATATTTCCTGTCGGGCTAAACTGAGAGTCTCCTTAGTCACCATTTAACATCTTTTAGTAACACAGTTAGTGAAAATTGTTTATTTAGTATAGATATAATTGCTGGCGTATAGCGAGTTCTATTTTCTTATGTTGTTAGAAGAATGCGACATATTTAAAAAAATATACGAATAACAACTCAATCAGTTGACAGTGGTAAACCCGCGCTATCATTCGCACTGTAGGACCGGCTCGGCCAGTGAAATACCACGACCACACAGAAGACAGGCGTGAAGTGGAAACAATTCCCGGTACATACTGATGAGTGCGGTGCCGGAGGTGTAATTTTAGTCCCTTTCCTTTCCCACCATTTTCTTATACGGAAAGGATGGGAAGGGAAAGTGGATTTGATGGTGGAGAAGACGCATAGAAATTGGAAATGTGCTCTTTATGTGCGTATTCTCCGTTGATTAAGGGTAGGCAACGCATCTACAATTGCGGATGTATACGGGCAGCGATCGCTTCGATTTGTTTTACAGGGTGTTAAGAAGTGTTATCAAAATATGGGACGCAGACTCCACAAAGATAGCTGTTCACTAAGTTGACCATATCTCGATATATTCCTTATGATCTCGAAATAACAATGATATTATTATTTCAAAGTTACTTAGGAGGCAACGTATTGAAAAATTAAAGAGAAAGTGAACGTCCAACAACCTAAATCTGATGCCTTCGTTTCTAAGATGTCTCCATACAAATTTTAGTGCAGTACGCATCAATAAAAAGGAGACATTCAAAAATGACACGAAAATGTCTATGTAGGCTGATTTTTTTTGTGACTAATTGGCCACTAAGAGGTATTGCCTTGCCACTAAGAGGTATTGCCTTGCCTTGAAGAGGTATTTACAGATTCACCAGACATGAGGTGGCCGAGCGTAGATGGCGCTTAGCCTAAATCTCGTTTATGAGTAACTAAGCTCGGGACCTCCCTCAGGAACCTCGGTACGAGTCGTTACCTCGTTATTATTAGAGGATTGGGGGGCCACCGAGCTCTTCGATCGCTCCATGGAGTGACTAGGCATAAGGGCCCCTGAAGGGGGACCTCGGCTTGGGCTGTTACTCGATACGCGTTAAGCATTCCGATTTAAGAGTGCCCCACCGTCCGTTTCGGATGTCAGCTATGAGTGTTTTTACTTCACCGCCGCGTTTTCTGATTCTGGTAAAGTTCCATCGAATGTGCTTCCTATTGAAATCACCTGCAAGGATGATGGCTCTTCCTGGAGATAGAAGGGCTTCTAAATCGAATCGTAAGATGGTTGCGCTTGGTCTACATGAAAGGTAAACTGAAGCTATCGTAATTGAGCCGTGACCAGCTGACAGATCGAGGCCTCTAAGTGCGTAAACGCGGGTGTCTTTAGATTTTAGCCCAGTGGCTGGCATTGGAATTCTACTGTTTTTTTACTTCCGGGTGCTCCCGGGGTGTTGGGCCAACATTAATTGAACCGCTACATATCGTTTTTTTATTTATTGGAAAATAAAGAACAATGCTGTGACTGCAGACACTGCTCAAAACGAATCGAATTTAGAACCATTCGTTATTAGTCGTACGAATCATCTAGATTTTTTCAGCAATACCATGTTCATAATAAGCATAAATGGGTTCTTACCAATTTCTTAATTGATAACTGAAATTTGTATTTTTTCATCAATATTTTTGATGAAACATCAGCAAAACAACTGCGTTAAAGAAGGATGCCTTCCATAACAACAATTTCGAATACAAGTAAAAAATGTTTTACCAATTTTCGCGTAAAAACAACATAAAGAATGTTTTTAAAAAATCTGGCTATTTACATAATATAAGATTGTTAAAAACGCATGCACACCTTTGAGTAAACTATCGCACAACTGTCAATTCATGTCACAATTTATTAGGGATGGGTTGTGTAAAATCAAGCGTGAATCTTTTCGATTTTTATTCTTATAGAAGTCGGAATCAGCAGATTCATAGTTATTATTTATGAATTAGAAAAAACACTGTTTTCTCAAATTTATAATGACCTGCAGAACCATTACAAATAATGAGAGTTAATAAATATTTACTACTACTACAGCCGTACGAAATCGAATTGGCTTTCGCTATTATTATTGTCATCGCGAAATTCTCTACACTATAATCAATACTAGAGTTGTCTTGTTTAATAATATTCATACAAACCGAATATCGATAGTTCATAATTGTCTCGTCACTACGATGCCTGTCTATTAAGTGTGGCATTTTCCTTCATACACATTTAATTTGATAATTCATATGCGTCATTTATCAAACTAATCTATCTTATTTAGACAAACTTTAAATAGTTGAATGGGCTGTGAAACAATCGACAGTAGCACAATAGTTGTAAGTTCAGTCAAAGGTGTGCACCCGCTTTAAAACTAGTTAGGAATAAAAATTTACGAAGAATTATACGCATAAATGTAAAAAAAAACTGACAGCATCAAAGAACAAAGAAGCAATGTTGATATGGTAACATAAATTCCCAACAAAAACGTTCATCGTAAGATGTGTATCACTCTGTCTATGCCTGCCTGTATATGAACGTATACCTATCTCTTTTTGTAAAGAGGGATGGCAATATCGTTGTTATACAGGTGTTGGGCAGTGGAAACTCACCGTAAAAGTGTACTGACTGATTGCAGATTCTTACACGGAGAAGAAACACTGGTTCCGATTAATCATTTAAGGTAATAAGATCTGTATGAGATTTTATTTGTTCGAGTTGAGCAAACTTAATAATTTAGTATTTTTATTTAATGTGGCAGTGCTGGTTATAAAAAACGCGAATTCTTTTTTCATTATCAGTGCACAACGCAGATTGTAATTTAATAAATCAAAGCTTTGCCGCGCGATTTTTTTTTATGTTTCTGTATCGAATTGTGAGAAAGAGCGCTTTTATATCTTACAGAGCTGAGTTAATGAAAGAGAAGTGTGAAAAGTTGCAGAAGGCTTCATTAGAAATGCATAACCAAATAGATCTTCTAAATAAAAGGCGCGAGAAACTGTATTCGACGTTAATGACTTTGTTCAAACCAACGGTAAGCATACCTATATAAATATGATTAATTTATCCTCCCAAAGACAATGAACATGGTTACATGTCTTTGATCTCAGTTATTTTAATGTAAACTGAAAAATAATAAATTTTTACGTTTTAATCAACCAAATTGACTACAAGATTACATACTTTCCTAACATACTTGATTCTTAAAGTAATTATAGCTCTATTTATTTTATACACTGCTCATTTTTCTTTTATCATTTCCTTCAGTTTTCATAAACCCGTGTCATTTATTATTCAGTTTATTATTTACATTTTCATATTATATTTTCTCATTAGACCTCACTGTTATCATCATATATTATATCATCTTATTTTTTTTTACTAACTTCACTAACAAATACAATATGCTTTTTACTAAAAATACTAACTTTTTCATATGTAAAGCTTTTTAAAATGTTGGTTTTCTTTTAAAAATCTTAACTAACATTTTATGATATGGTTCTATAGTAAATTATTTGGTCAACTTTATTTTTCGTATATACTGCCGGTCGAGCATATAAAGCTTGTTCAAATTGTTTTGATTATAAATATTACTCTTCTCAATATCATTTGATAACCTTCTTTAGATATAAACATCTAGTTATTTAACTGTACATTACTTTATTGACAGACCGGAGTAACTTATAAGGTTTATGATTGAAGACAGTATTAGGATAATTTGACATATTTATTATGGGAAATGCTAAATAAAGTTAATAAGGAATTAGCTCTTATTAGGCAAATCTTTAAGTAATGGAATAAGTGAATATTGACTGAGGTGACTATATGAAAGAAATATCTTTTTAATTTATTACTAAACACCTTTAGCGCAAATGGATGTGAATGAAATGGGATAGTGTGAAAAAAAAACGCAATTCAAATGCATCTCTGTATGTACTATAGATATAGATAATGATAGTGATGTAGGAAGATGACGAAAGAATGAATAAACAATAAGAGGAACTTCGTGGGTTATTTTATAACCAAAAAATATTTCTTGCTCCAAAAATGACTACTATAGCGTGCCCGTAACGCGCCTCTCGCACCTCACCTCCGCCCTGGAGATCACGCCACCTATCTCGCCCTTCCTTCCAGGACATCACGCCACGTACATCGCCCCTCCTCGGGAAATCAAACCACCCGCGCTGTCGCGTTCCCGCTCCTCACCTTTTATACCCCGCACCCTACTCAGGACTTCCCGCGTCGCGCCTTGCGTGCCCGTACCTCATCCCACGATCGGCGCAGCCTAGAGATGGGCATTGGGAAAACCCAACGGGAATATACCCTGTTTTTTTTACCATTAGGGAAAAAACCGGGTATTTATGTAGGAAAAAACTCAATACACGGGTATTTTCATTATTCAACGTAATTATTAAGATCTTAAAAAATACTTTTTTTATATGTAATACAAATGCAGCAAAAATAGGTATATAGAATATAGGTAAAAAATAAGTAAAAACAGGTGTACAAGGCACTAGTCAGGCTAGGCACAGAATGTTGTTCGAAACGTCAAAATGTGTGTGATTCATTTAACTAAAATAAAACGAGCAGTTTATTATAATATATTATTAATGAAATGAAAAAAAAAACCGAATATTATCCCATTTGGGAATTTAACCCAGATTTGTTCCTTATTTTTTCCCACATTATGGTTTTTTCCGGGTAAAATCCCATCTCTAGCGCAGCCGCACCCGATAGTTACATCCCGTCTTCTCCCGCGCACACACGTATGCCCTTATAGAATCTTCCGCTGGCTCGTTTTACGTATTTTCGTAAACTTTTGTGTGTATGTTTTGTTAATATTAGTATTAAACTACTTGTAAATCTGATTAACGTGCACTAAAATGAAATAAAAAAAAACCTTTGAGATATTTAAAACAAAAAATATTGCTTAAAACTAAAACAATCATCTGAAATAAATGTTTTTTTTATATAATTACCGTGAGCTTCCACTGCACAAATCTTTTTTTCGTTGGTTATAAAAAAACTAAGATGAACAATAATATGTTTTCGTATTGGATAAGTTTTATTTTAAATTATATTGAGGAGGATAACGAACGAACGAAACGAATTGTTGTCGTTCATACAACAATTTAAGATTTGTTGTTGCTTGACAAAGATTTTGGTCATACTGTTTAATTGTAAAGCACATGTTTCATCACTTTATTCTTACCTTTTCAACGTCCAGTAAGAATGTACAGTAGCGTACGTTTAATACCATCCTATTTTGATGAAATGTTTGACACTCAGTATTCAATTATGTTGAAAACTGGTTATAGAAATGTTGCTAATAGATATGAGAGCGGGCGCGCATTATTGACTAAAATATCGCACAACTGTTGGACAATTGTCGATTGTTTTGCAGCAAATTCAACTAATAAGTTGCACAACTAAATTCGAGTAGGGTGCGAACCTTCTTATAAGCTTATAGTAGTCAAAGCACGACTAACAGTTGTGCGATTGTTAGTTAAAGGTGTGCGTGTTCTTATGGTGACTGTTAGCTTTACGTTATTCAATCCTAAATGGGAAGTAAATTTGTTTCTTTGACTGCAGTATCGACCTTGACTTACCAAACAGGACAGAAGATCATCAATGCGCTGATATTAGAAAGTGTAAAATAGGACGGTGTTTCCAAAATTATGTACTTTAAATGATATGTTTCAATTCGTTGACCAAAAGTCAGAATGTATTTTAATTTTTCATGGCCTCCTTGGTTGGTTTATGTCGACTCAAACTTATTTCTTGGTTTCAGATACTATTAACGTATCTGGTTTTATAGACCTATATTTTGTAAACAAATGTATTTATATCCATCGAAAAATTTGTGAAAACAGCCAGAAGAAGACAAGCGTAATTTTAATTGTGACGTAAGAAATTGGTAGAAAATGTTTTGAATTTACAAATTTTATAAAAAAATGAAATAGTTTTTTACATAATTTGTTAACTTTGAACAACCTATATGTCTCTTGTGTAACTAACATAAAAATGCCTGAATTAAAATGGTCTTATAAATTTACTTTATTTCAGTACCAAACGAAAACCCCCGCTACCAGTGGACCGATATCCTCGCCGACTTCGGGAGAAAGGCAGACGGTAATAAAATTAACTATTTCCCTTTTCCCATTATCCGTTATTATTAGATTGATTGGAACTGTTTGATGATTTTATGTTTTTTATTACTTTTTCAGTGGTTATTGGAACAGATGAGCAGTGCAATAAATTCCAATATAATTCCTGGAATACAGGAGGATGCAAGTAGGGTAAGTTTTACATTATCGAAGTATCACAAATTATATTGATTTATAAAAAATACGATAATTAATATTTTTAATGTTGTTTCAGCACATTACTCATGGTAATCCTGTTATGTCAAGCTTGGTAGCAAAATTACTGCAAGTATATAGACAACATATGCTTTCAGATCCTACTAGAAAAACATAACGAAGGTAAATCTCGTGAAGACGTGTAGATAAACTTTAGAAAGATGTTTTTAAACAATATCCATTCAAAATTCACTGTACTTATATGCTTTGCATATTTATAATCTTTTATGATACTGTACATAACTAGTCTTTTCCTCATTACAAATTGCATGTTTTATCACAAAATTGAACATCTAGTATTAGCCTTTAATGTGAATTTTCAAAATAAACATTACAGTAACATTTTTTCTATTAGTTTTTTGGGCCCACCGATATAGTGATGTGTAATAAAGGATATGTTTCTTATAATCATACTTCGTACTAATATAAATATGAATGTTTAGATGGATGGATGGATGTTGGTTAGAGTTTGTTGCCTAAACGGCTGAACGGATTTCAATGAAATTTGGTATAGATGTAGAGGATAGTCTGGAAGAACACAAAGACTTGTATGTATATAATTGAATCAATTCTACAAGACCAACATTTGGAATTAGATAAAACTAGCTTTCGCCCGCGACTTCGTCCGCGTGACACAAAAAAAAACAAAAGAGAGTAGCCTATGTGTTTTTCCAGACTATCCTCTACATCTATACTGAATTTTATCAAAATCTGTTTAGCCGTTTAGGCTACAAACGCTAACAAACATCCATCCATCCATCTAAACATTCACATTTATATTTTTAGTATGATAAACGTTAATTTTGAGGTTATCAATGATGCTAATTTAAACTGTAATTTTAATAAGTCTTTTATTTAAGATATGACATTTTTATTACAAAAATGACTGCAATATTAGTTTTTTTTATATTTATATTTGAAATACACTACCATGTAGGCCCTAAGATGTTCTTTAGTTGTGACGATGGACATTGAAATTAAATAAGTCAACTAGAAATTTATAGGATTTTTAATATGTTTTAAACACCATAAACTTGGATGGATATGTTTACTATCTCAGATTTTCTTTAGATTCATAAAATGTAGATTTTGATTAGTCATTCGACAATCATCATTAAGTCATTTATTTTTAAGTTTTATCGTTATTATCTCTAGATATAAGTGTAATGCAATATGTTTAAGTATATCTGGATGTAACAGAAGTAACAATTTCACAAATGAATTACTGAAAATATTTATATCATTTTAAATTTAAATATACTATAGTCTAACCAAGATGCACTTCAATCTCCTTCACTGCATTCCGCATATTTTTCCGCAATATGGCGAGAGTTTTTGTTTCTGGTCAGGCTGTAATTTTACATCCAATGTCTATGAATTGCATTTATTATTTATGTTCAGTTTAAGATATCCAATATTTTAAAAGAACATTATGTATATGAATTATATTCTTATAGTTTGTCTAAATTAATTAGATTAGTTTGACAATTTAGTATGGATGGGTTGTGTAAAATCAACCATAAATCTTCTCGATTTTCGATTTTTATTCTTATGGAATCGATAGAATCATAGTTATAAGTTATGAATTGAAAAAAGACAAAACAAAGTTTTCTTAAATTAACAAAGACAAACAGAACCAGTACAAATAATGAGAGTAAATATATATTTATTACTACTACAGCCGTACGTAATCGAATTGGTTTTTGCTATTTTTCGTTTTCTGCCATCGCTGAATTCTCTACACTATTATCAATATTAGAATTGTCCTCTACATTAGTTAATAAGAAAATAATAATGTTAGTTAAGTTCGATAAATTTTATTTAAACCGAATATCGATAGTTCATAATTGTTCGCTATGCGTGTTTGTTTCATCACTAAGATGTCTATTAAGTACGGCATTTGCCTGTTTCAATTGCAATTTGATACTTCATATGCGTCATTTATCAAACTAATCTATCTTATTTAGACAAACTATAGATGGATATTTAAAAGCTTTGAATTAATTTTCGTTATCTGAAAGTTTTTTATATTCATACTTGACACTAAGACAAATTGAAAACTATCAAGTGTGTTTTTTCATATCCTGTAACGTCTTGGTTAGTTTTAATGTTTTTTTTTATAATTCCTATAAATTCCAAATCACATCATAAAATAAAACTTGCCATACCAATGATCAATTTTCAAATTGTGTAATAAATGTTGAAGCTTTTGATGTAAGTGTAGTATTTTCTTACGCATTATTGGTGTCTATAATATAAACAAAAAAATCGATACTCATTTAAAATATGTATAGCACTAAGTATTACAATATTCATCTACTTTTAAACATTATTGATGTTCCTTATGTATATTAGTAAATAATATATACATCTTAATATGTTGTTTTATTTATATCTATACTATTATAATAATACGTAAACCCACACTACTTTGTGGCACACTATTTTGAAGGATTCAATCTTTAATAAAAATCCCTACACTTCGACATGCTTTATGTTACATATTTTCACGCTATTAAAGGGGATAAAGAGATTGAAAAAACTTTTATGTGAGAAAGGAACCATAAACTACAAGTTGCCAACATTACCGAAGCAAAGTTATGTTAACGGTAATTTTGACATTTGCAATTGACAATTTGATAAATGTAAACGATAAAAAAGTTTTTATATTTTCATGCGGGTGAGGCCGCACGGGAACAGCTAATAAATTGTTAATACTGAAACCAAAAGTAAATAAGGTAAGTAAAAGTAAATAATGGATGGGTTTTAAAGATAATGTCGACAGTATGATTTCATAAAAGTGTTTGGATAGTTGAAATCTTGTTTTTGTTTCGCAGAAATAGGTAAAAATTTACAGAATAATTTTTTGTTTTTAATTTTTAATACTTTTCCAACCAAATAAAATTATTCTGATTATTACGAACGGCTCTGTGGCGCAACGGATAACGCGTCTGACTACGGATCAGAAGATTCCAGGTTCGAATCCTGGCAGAGTCGCGGCTTTTTTGTTTTGTTTTAATTTTAATTTTTATATTAATTTGAAAGAATTCTCATATAGGTGTAACCGAATGATTTTTTTTAATTAACAGTTTAAAAAAAGTTTAATTAAATCAAGACCGTCGAGATAATACCAATAATGGACCGACTTGACCTTGCGAAGTCATCGAAATTTACAAGAGGCGAAAAATGCATTTTTATTCATTTGATACTAACATTTGTCTTGATTATACTATCGATTGTTATATACTTCGTGCATCTATGCCTAATCAACCACCCAGGTAACAGTTATTTAAATACAAGACGATCGGTGGCAGTACGCGAAGTATTCAAAGGTAAGGTTTACGATTTTAAACTATGTGACAATACAACATGATATTTCTAAATTGAATCAATTTCATATGATAAATATAAAGTTGAAATCGTTGTATTAATATTCAGTCTACAGTTAAGTCATCTAGTACCCAACTAGGTAACCTAACGACGAACACCATGTGAAAATGGGAGCAATAATAGTAGAGCAGAAAGTCAATTTAATATGATCACTTATTAACATAGTTTTCAGTACATTTAAATTCTAACATAGGCGTTGCCAGATGATGATAGAACTTTTTCCCGTCCAAATATGACGTGGGGAGCCTTCAAAAGAAGAGTGAACAGCTACCTTTTAAGCTAGCGAGAACCATCTTTCGACTGCGTCGTCACTTCTTTCAGGTGGCATCGTGGTCAAGCGCTAGCTTATCTAATATAAAAAAAAAACTAAACTAGGTCTAGAGGGGGCAGCTACCTCTAAAACTATTTAATAATTTTCGATTCTCAAGGAGGGCAACTAAAGCTCCTGGCGACGCCTCTTATATGTAATTTCAGAAGTCACGACGCCGGATTATTTGCCAATCGGCGTTCTTTATTTAAGTACTAATCCTATCCGAGCGGTTTGCAATACAATACTTTTCCGAGAGAAATGGTCAATAGCTCCTGCGCACTGTGTCATCATTAGAAGTGATCCCTCGTTGGTGCAATTGCTCCCGAAATGGGGGATTAAGTTTAGAACTTCGGATTTAAAAATTATAGGTACTTTAATATTGTTTTAATAGTTTATAGAACCTTTTGATGGTTGTTTATGTTATTTAAATATATTAAGTGAATTAGAATGAAAGCTATATGCCAGAATTGCCAACATTCTTATCGGTTTTTCCTGCCGAAACACTTAAATAAACATTTTTCTCCTACTCTTAATAATATATGTGTTTAGACAAAAATTAAAGTTAGATACAGCAGAAAAGATAAGCATTTTAAAGTTATCAACGAAGTTCTTAACGTTAATTTAATTACATTCTATATCTTACTAATATTATAAAAGCGAAAGTTTAGATGGATGGATGGATGGAGTTTGTAGCCGAAACGGCTGAACGGATTTCGATGACATTTAGTATAGATGTAGAGGATAGTTTGAAAAAATATTGATAGACCAGCCGATGTTTTATTTAGGCCTAGAAGGGCAGTTGCTATTGCTACAGCTGTTTGTACCCCCCCCCTCTTTGACTACTCCCATAATAAACTTTATTCAATAACTGTCTCAATAACGTATTTTCTAGTTACTAAAATAAGAAGAAGTATTGCTCATCCTCATTTCAATCGAGACGACTTTAGTAACAATATCGGTCTACTGGAACACACAGTTTCGGTTCCGATCCATCAATATATCAGTAAGTATCAATACAATATTGTATTATTCAACTTAATTCCCAAATTTTAGCAAAATCAAGTAACGGCGCAGATGTCTGGTCTTTATGTGTAACTAGCTTTCACCCGCGACTCCGTTTCGCGTGGAAATGGAAAAAGCAAAAGTGAGTAGCCTGTGTGTTCTTCCAGACTATCCTCTACCTCTATGCCAAATTTCATCGAGATCCGTTCAGCTGTTTTGGCTAAAAACTCTCACAAACATCCATCCATCTAAACTTTCACATTAGTCAGATTAGTCAGATTAGTCAGATTTATATTGATTGAAATTAAACTATAATCGCTGAGAACGTTTTTACAGCATTTAATAGATCTATTAATCGTTACGATCAGATGGGATTTGATGATAGGCAATTACTTATAGGATCTTGGAATCAAGACGCCACAGATGATGAAGGTAATATCAGCTACATCAAACTAAAAAATAAAAGTAACGCGTACATTTTTAAATATTTTTGTTCTAATATCGGTACCCCAAATCATCTCTACTTTTCGTCCTCCAAAAAACTCTATCATCCATCATCTCAGTCACCACACCCTTCTTGGTCATATCTCCTTTCCCGCAATCCATCCATTTCTTTCTAGATCTACCTCTACCGCTGAACCTCTCCACACTCAGATTACTAAAAGTATTTTAATACAAAGAGTATTTGTCAAATACTAAGATACCAAACAAAATATATTTAATTGCAAGATACAAAATATATTCTGTTAAAAGTATTCTAGATATGATATAAAAACGTATTTTGTAAGTTGTATCTGGTTTTTAAATACAATGTATCTAGATAAGTGACTTTTCGGAATGTAACCGATACTCGTAATGATAGATTTTAGTGTATCAAGTCTATTAGTTTAAAGATCATTAAGTTTCAGATATCGGAGAACCATATAGTCTTTACGTTGTTAACTCAATGGATAGAGCTAAATGTGTTAACTTTATGGCTCCAGTAGTGGACTTAAGAAATTATGAACATTGTTTTACTTTACAGGACTCAGTTCAGTTTAATTTATGTAAGTGTAATATAGAAAATGTCATCGTATCCCCTACATGTAATATGTTTTTGTAAACGTCACTACTTCGTCCATAACAAGAAAATCAATTTAAAACTATTATAACCACTGGTCTGTTAAATGGATAAACAATTGCTTAGAAATGACAGCTTTTTATGAGTTAAAATGTAGCTTATGTTACTCACAGATAAATTACCTTTCTAGCAGTGAAAGAATTTTTAAAATCGGCCTAGTAGTTTTTGAGTTATTCCAATACATACAAAAATACAAATCTTTCTTCTTTATAATCTCAACATAGATTTGATGAAATGTTTCAGACCATGGTGCGGCACTACTAAACGCTTACACTGTCTTTGGCATATTCTCTTGGGGAGAGAGACAAAACAAAATATTTCCCTTTGTAATATTGCGGATTGCTGATTTTAAGGATTGGCTTGAAGACGTTATTGTTTTAAACAATGCGATTTAAAATAACTTTGTAGCTTGTATTTTCCGAATAAAATGTTTAAACGATTTTTCCACTTTAATTTTCTATTTATTTTAACATTCCTACACTTCCTGCCCAAAAGCCCGATCAAGCGTGTATCACTAATGATGATTAACATTTCGTTTCGTTGACGGCAAAATTGTCGACGACCATCCCGATTTTCTGACAGGATTCAGGGGAAGGCCTAGATGCTACCAGAGGTTAACGGTGCGAAAAATATCCTAATTTTTAAGAAAATTGTTTCATTTTAAATACAAAACTTGTAAAGTGTAAGCGAAGGATTTAAGAATAACCCTGTAATAAGAGAAGAGAACATATTCTATAATAGGGGTGTTTCAAGTTTCAAATTCATGTTAAGTTTTGCTTTAATCATTCTCAGGATTTCTAGGATTGGATAGTCATGCATTGTCACCGTAATTCTTCACTAACAAATTATGTATAAAACTATTACCTATAAAAAGATAAACTACAATCAGGATAGTACTCGCTTCCGCAAGCCTCCACGGATTTCAAAAACGCCGCTATAGAAGTCCGATTTGGCGATGTCATGCGGTGTTGTCAGTTCAGGTGTCTGAATTTCAAACAAATAAAAGAAAACCTGTACGCCACACATTGGGCTGGATCCAGTTGCTCCATAGACAACTTTATCTGATGTTTGAAATGTTTCTTTTTTTTGCTTGAATGTGCTTTGTATCA